TTCCTATTTACTAATGCCAGCAGTAGAAGGATTAAAAATAGTCAATGTTGACTGAGAGAGTGAAGTTCCACTTTAAGCACAAGGAGTGTGCTTTTCTGTTGGGGACACTTTTTAAACATAAGTCTTAAGGTAGCTATAGAAGTTTATTGTGTTACTGACATCACTAAAAACTACCAGCACTGGACTTCCAACACCAAAAACAAATGTATTTATTTTACTAGAAAAAAAATCCTCAATACAATCACATTTTGTGCTACTGAATAAATCATCTACGGTTATTTAATTGTGGTTTGCAACTGGAATAAAATCACACACAAGAATGCAAGAACTTTGAACTCAAAATAGCAGTATATGTTTTGTTGGATTTTAACCCTATGTGATGTATATAAGATCTTGCTATGTTAACAACTTTTTGAATGGACTCATAATAGCCGTAGAGCAATTTAAAATGAAGTTCATTGCATTACAGGATTCCAGAACTAGCAAACATTTAGGTATTAGGGATAATATAATTTCATTATATTTAGCATGATTCTAAATAACCGGCTAGCAGGGATTACCTTATGGAATCTTCTTGGAATGGAAGAGAATAAGCGTAACATGTTCAGTAGTCATCTACTCTTAGTAATAACTAAGTAAGAACAAATGTGCAGCGACAGTCACTTCATGTAGAAAGCACACAGAATCAAAATAAGAAATGTGTGTTTAAATGAATTGTGACCCTTCATAGCTGTGCCAATTGAAGACACCCTGTTTATATTAATGAATGTAAAGGACACTTATCTGAATATTTGTATCATGTCTGGAATTTTGATAATTTGCCCACAGCAAAAGCAAACAAATGCAATATAAAAATGTAATAGATCACACTATAAGGTTGTTATAATGTACTTGTTTGGTGTGCCATTAGTAATGCAGTGTAATTTGTAATTTGGCATATTGCCATTCACAGCAGTATTTTTTATATACAGTAACTGCAACTATTCATTATGGAAAGACTAGAATGATTTAAAGTAAGTCACAATCCAAACCGAAACATCGGAAAAAAGCTATGTATATTTATGAGGAAGTAAGCAAAATACTAACTTAAAAGGCAAGAAAGCAGTCCATAGAATAGGTAGCGTTTAGGACAGGTGTCATACAGGACAAGGAAAAATTGAAGAAGTATGAGTCAGTGGACCACAGAACCCTTCCCTCCTGTTATGAAGATGAGGAGAGGGGGAAGGGAAACTCCAAATATATAAAATCTTTGTTCTTTAAGTATGGTTTAATATTAGAACCTCTACTCATATATCTGTACCCCTGGGAAAGATGCTGACAAAGAGCCAACTACATACAGAGAGAACTGCCTGGTGCTGCCTGAAGATAAGCAGAGGCTGCTAATTTTACACAATGTGTAAATCTTGTGAATTCTTCTGTTAGAATTTAAAAGCTGAAGTTTAATGTGTAAGTTCATCTTCAAGATTTTCCAAAAATCCCCCTATGCAGTTTCATATCCTCTAAACAGCATGTAGTGCCCTCTTGTTCCTTTAGATGGAACCAAGAGCTTCTCATAAAGACTGGGTTACTGATTCGTATAGAGACTGTTGCCACACCAGAGGGAGTAAAAGGTCCAGGGTCCAACATAACTTAGAGTTATTGTTCTAGTCAAGTCATCCCATATACTACTAGACCCTATCAAAGTTGTTTATCCCTCCCCCAAACCCCCCCCCCCAAAGAAAAAAACAAGCCCATGGACTAGTTACTGACTGAATGCAAGTTGGTGTTGCCTGGCTGTGCAGGAAATAAGGGTGACCCAAAACCAGCGGCTCTCAATGGGGTAGAATTACAAGTACATGCCAGCTCTCCTCCTCTTTTAAATGTTGCATGTCCTCAGAAGCAGCTGTGTGGAGAGCCCTCCACAAAGAACACTGGCTCCTAATTGCACTGCATCATGCCATTTGCAGGACAGACTAAATATTACAATAATGCACCTTTAGTGGATGCTCTGGGCCATTTAAATGGCACACATCCGTAGGAGAGTACACACTGCGCAGGTGCATGATTTTGCAGTGCACTTTGTTGTCTTCCAGCTGAGCTCAGCTAGAGAAGGAGGGTGCACACTGCCCACATGCGCAGTTTAAATGGTCCAGAACAGCCGCTACTGACCTCAGCTGGAGTGTGGAGAACACGCTGTTCAGGCACAAAGTTTAATCAGTCCATGAGAGTTGCTAGGTGGTGCATTGTACATCTACATTACAATGGAAAGGTGTGCATTTAAAATAGAAGTGCTGGTATGTAGAATTCAGAGGGTACAGAATTTCATAGGGAGATTTTTCATAAATCTTTCTGAAGGGGACCTTACACTTTAATTTACTTATAATTTGCATTCTCTGAAATCCCCTTCCCCCCCAGTTAACATGACAGTTTATTTTCTGTAATATAATTATCTACCTTATCTTACCTTATTTTAGACCCTGTGACATCATTAGTGGGCCTATGTGCAATACAAGTGGATGATAGCTGGTGAGAAGGCCCGGCAGGGCTGCTGTACATAGCTTCTTTAAGCCATTACAGCACACTGCCTCCATATGATGCTCAAGGGTATTGTGCAGGCTTTTAGGAGGAGGTATATAAATATCAAAATGTATTGATAAATGTCCTCCTGAAGGAGTGGGCACTCCTAGACTGGCTTCAATTGCCTGCAGACTGGCTTACGTAATGCCCACATGTGATGCTGAGCCCCCATGATTGAAAGAACTGAAATCTAATGCAGGGGTCTCCAAACTATGGCCCAAGGGCCGGATGTGGCCCTTTGCTAGCCTTTATCCGTCCCTTGGGGCACTATTCCTCCCAATGATATGAGATACTATTCCTCGCTCTGACACCAACAAAAGGACACTATTCCTTACACTGATACCAATGATGTGGCATTATTCCTCCCATTAATACCAATGATGGGTATTAATGGTATTAATGGGAAGAATAGTACCCCATGTTTACTTTCACTGATGCTGGGCCCAGGACATTCTCCACCCCCACTGGTCACAACCGGCCCTCCTAAAGTTTGAAGGTCAGTAAACTGGCCCTTTGTTTGAAAAGTTTGTAGACACCTTATCTAATGAAAGCAAGGGGTGAGCCAGCGACAGTATGGCTCAGGATAAAAAAAACTATACGATGCTAGATGTCTCCAGCCAGGAGCTTTTGTGGACTCTTTCTGGCCTTCCTCAGCTTCTAATGCATGCCGTGAGATGCCCACAGTTCGCAGTGAAATCAGAGTAAGCAATTTCAGTACAGGATATATATAACTGTGCAAAACTTTGAATAAAATGATAGTGGCCTCACTACTGATAAAATGTATTTACTGCTCCCTGGTCAGACTACAATCCAAATCAGCCCATGTTATGTATATCAATAGGGGTCCACCTTAGGTATTAAGTGTGAGTTTAATAATTTATATAGGGACCTTATTTCTACTAAGAACACTTTTTCTGTTTTAGTAGTGGCCGATGGGTTCTTAATTTTAATTAACAATACACTTAAAATCTAAAAGTGAAACTTAACTGTATCTGAGCACCACAACCTGAAAATGCTATATAATCCATTTTTAATATTCACAGCAAGCTAATCCATCCATATCTCCATGCTTTGTGTTGTTGAGAAATCACTTTGAAAAACACTCACCTAGCATTTCTGTCTGTGGCCATCTTGAGTAAGGGCAGATGATTCATGTAGCATTTACTTCCTGGAATCCACCTGCCCTTAGCTCAGGCACGCAGGCAGGAGGATGTGCCTAATTAAGAAAAACCCTCCTCCCCAAAATGGCCAAAATGCCCATAAAGTCTCCAAGGATGTACAGTATGACATAATTTTGCCTAGGCCAGAAATCAAGAAGCAACTGAAGAAATGTAAAAAAAAAGTTTAAAACAAGTAAATACAATATACCTTCCAATCTATGTACTAAAGCTAACAGCATAAAGATAAAAATTAGAAAATGCAGATCGAGAGAGTTTAGTTTTGCTTCAACATTTAAATTTTTCATCTCCAGCAAAAATGTTGTGAAATACCTAAAATAGACACAAGATGTCACTATTGGGTTATGTATGGGCCTACAGCTGACCTGGTGTAGAATAAATAGAAGGCTTTCAATAAAACTTTCACTTTGCCAGACTTTTCTTTAAACATATTAATAAAAACGTGTTCTACTACTCATCATATGATTTGTTGTCCTGGCCTGAATTGGTTCATTTTCTATAAACATTTTGTGACCTCCCTCTTTGTTTACCTGGTCTAAACAATGACACTTGAAATTCATAGAACAAAACCAATCACCCCAGCTGTTTTTCACTGACTTCTGAACCCGTGCAGTATTTTTTGGGGGGGGGGGGGGGGGGGGGGGGTCAATATGATTGCCAGAAGTTGCAGGTGCAGCAAGTCAGCAGGAAGCAATACTGTCATACTGTTATTATTTAAATAACCATCAATTTCAACAGGGAAGTAAAGCTGTAATTATCCATAGAACAGTGCTCAAAAGAATATAATTCAGCCGCAGTGAGTAGCCAGGCTTTTTTTTTTGCTAGCAGAAAGCTAATAAAATCAGAATTACAGCATCTCAGAGGTTGGGATTCTTCATGTCGCCATAAAAAGTCAGAGGAGAAGAAAAACCGTATCATGAATCAGTATGAATTAAAGCAGAAGTCCATGGAGCATGATTAAGAACGTCAGTGAAGCAGCAGCAACCTGCCTCACATACTAAGAATTATCAGACACCCAGGGAACGCCAGCAAGGTGTTAGATTGTTCTATATGAGAGCTTTGTGTGGTCTTATAAGGCCCTGACTATGTTGTCAATTTACAAAGGCATAATGCTGCAGCATTTTGGTCCCCTTGCATCATATGTTTACTTATGCACCCAAATCAATTTTACTTCAATAAAGAATTCATTGCACTGATATGCTGAATTTGCTGCATACATACTATTCTAAAGCTGATATTTAGGTGTTACTAAACCCAGGACCCTGCATTTACTTTATCTGGTCTACCACAGTACACAGAAATGCAATTATTTAAGTAAATATGAACTGCTAAATATGTTTTCTCATCAGCAGTTAGAGCAGCCTTGTGACTTCTATCAGTTTTCAGAAAAGCACTGGTTAAAACTTGCAGGAGGAGTTTTCTCTAGGAGGATGCAGAACCCCTGACCTGAGTGCTGATTGGCCCTGTGCTGATCACATGCACTCTCCCAAGAAAAAAAAAAACCTCTCTAGCAATACACACCAAACTGAGCATGTGCAGAGTGTCTCCACACAATATGTCCTATCAGGAGATAAGAGGGGAGCACTGGAAGAAGGGGAGGATAAGAGAAGTCAGGATCAAACAGCATTTTTACACAGTGAAGAGCATTAACCTCTTACGTTCCACAGTGAGTATAACAAGCATGCTTTACTGCATTATACAGACTGATTTTACTGTTGTGGGTTTAGTAACACTTTAAATCTGGTTATATTTTGTCTCCCCTGGTTCCTCCCTTCTCCCCTCATCAACACGCTAATGAAATGATTTAACTACTTAAAGAACATACACATTTTGCCACTTTTTGTTTACATGTAAAAGTCAGTATTTTTTTGCTAGAAAATGACTTAGAACAAACACACATGCATATATATATATATATATATATATATATATTTATTTCAGAGGCCCTAGAAAATAAAATGGTGGTTGTTACAATTTTATATGTCACACTGTATTTGTGCAGGGATTTTTTCAATCCCAACACTCGTAGAATGGTGTCAAACACGGGCAACACTTACAGGTTACCATTTTGGAGCTACACAGGAGGTCTCATACTAGAATTATTGCTCTCGCTCTGACATTCGCAGTGATACCGAACATGTGTGGTGTGAGTGCTCTTTACGTATTGACGCTGCACTGTGTTCACCTTTGCACACAAGCACGGTGCGGGCGCTTTACATTTTTTTATTTTTATTTATTTTATTTTTTTATTTTTACACTATTTCTTTAATTTTTTTTAAATTACTTTTATTGTTATCACAGGGAATGTTAAATTCCCTTGTGATGACAATAAGTAGTGACATTCAGGTCCCTGATCAGCTCTATGGTAAGCCAGCAGATCCACCGACTTAATTGCAGAGCTCTTGGTGGTATTGGAGAGCCCAGAGAGGAAGCAGAGAGCGGCAAGAGGGCGGATGACCCCTCCTGCTGCTTGTTAAAGTGATCCAGTGGCTAATGACTTTTACAAAAAAGAGAATTGCCTGCAGTTTAAAAGAAAATGTCCTATGTAGGGAAGCAAACTGGGAGGCAGGCCAGGAAGTGATAGAAGGGAAAGAAAATATAAACTCATAGAATAGCAGACAATGTCCATAGGTGAGCACAGAGCCATACAACACATCTTTTGTGTACTGATCTCCCCACATCCCCCCCCAGTACGTACCTGAGCCCCCTCTCCATCCACCGGTGTGTACGAGAGCCTTGGCTGTCCCCCTCTCCTCTATGGCTGACACACCAGCAGGAGCCATTGGCTCCCACTATTGTCAATCACTGCCAGTGAGCCAATGAGGAGAGAGCAGGACCGAGCGGCAGCTACAGTATATGTGTCTTATGGACACACAGAGCTGGGCTTGAGGGCGAGCATGCACCAGTGTCCCCATAGCAAGCGGCTTTGCTATTGGGGGCACTGGTCAAGGGGGAGAAGCCAGGTGCACCAGCAAGGAATCCAAGAACAGGAGGACTGGGCAGCTCTGTGCAAAACCAAAGTAAGTATGACATCTTTTTTTTTTTTTAAAGCCAAACCTTTACTACTACTTTAATGCAGAGAATACATTAATGTAAAAAATGCTCTGCCTTTAGAACCACTTTAATTGCTCTCCAACTAGCAGTCTGGCTTTTCTGCCAACATCACTCAACTCACATTCTCTAAGTTGTCATGGACCTGCCCGTAGGCGGTGATTGGGCAATGAAAGAAAAGCAGAACAGTGATGAGCTCATTAAGTCACTTGGCTTTCTCCTACTATCAGCATGCTTTTGTCAACACATGGGATGACTGGCTTCAAGAGGCATCTTCCTCTTCCACCCTGAGCTATGATGTGCATTGACAGAACTGTACAGAATTGCATTCATTTCTGTTTTTATTTCTGAGTTCAGCTTTAATCTATTTAGTGAGCCTCGACTTTGCCACCTGAAACATGTTGAATATAACTCTAAGGCTAACACCTATTCCCCCCTCCCCCATCTCATAAGATATAATTGTAGCACCGCTCACGTTTAGCTAGGGGGAGCTAGTTAGTTTTTTTAGGCAGAGGTTGAGCAGCAGTCTGGGATGAGTCAGCCAGGTTACTCTAGGTCTGGGCTGAGGGCTCTGCAGGTCAATTCCCTGATACCTCCCCCTGCCACCTGGAATATTGAGAAGTTTCTGGAAGGCAGTGGGGGTGGGGGTGAGGAGGGGCTGATCTGTATGATCAAATGACTCTGACCAATCTCCAAGCAGGAGGCTTGGCATGGAGTCAGGGTGGCCCTTATGTATGAAAGAGCCTGATCATCAGGGTAGTGTGTCAGATGGAGTGAAGGCTGGAGTGTGGAGCCTGGGAAGGGACCCAGGGAGAGGGGCCTACCTATAGGCAAGAGCTGGAAGTAGGATCTCTCTGCCTCATCGTCCCTGGAGAGAGGACAGCCTGTGGAGTAGAGAATGAGCCAGTCGAGCGTAATGCCTGAAGGCAGCCATCAACCCACCAAGCTCACAGGAAAGATAGCGTGAGTAATCCTGCACCTCCTGGGCCGGGTAAGGGGGGAGGGCAGTTATGCGGAAAACCCAACTAGCTTCTCATTTGGGGCTGTTTCTGGGTCCCCTTGCCCAAGAATACCCTCAGGCAGCTGGGTGAAAAGGAAGATTCATCTGGGATCTGGGGAGGTACACCAGAGAGACTATTTTGCTCATATCTGTACATAGTTGCTAAGGAGTTTGTCCTCAAGTTTGTAGTTCCTTTGGGCATGAATCCCATCTAAGTTCAAAACCCCTTAATAAAATCACAAAACCAAACTCAACGACTGTTTACTGACTCCAATGTGCAAAGTGTGGAAAAAAAATGCATGTTGCTTGGCTGTACAGAGCTTTAGGGGGATCCAAAACTCAGCGACTTCTAAGGGGGTAGTTCTACATAATATTGCATTAGATACAGAAAGGGCAGATTTAAATATGCATCACTTATGTTGTGCTTCTTTTCCCATTTCAGCAGGCAATACTAGTGTCAGCTAGAGTTAAAATGTAGTGCTGGAAAGCGATATGGATTTTATCTAATGTAATTATGCACAGCACAAGATAAAATTAGTTTTGCATTTCCGTGCATTTCTCTGGTCTAGATGAAGATTTCCTAATTTGACCGAGATTCTGATTAAAATCCCAGTGGACTTCAGAAAAATTAGATGCTCAGAAGGTGGAGGTATTTGTCTATCAACTGGACTGTATGCTGAAAGAGATTACTTTTTGCGGCTAGAAGCAGAATAGACTAATGAACCCTCCAACAACACCGCTTACTTCTAGTTCCTCTGCACAAGATCATTAAAGGATATTATTAATGCCAAATCGAATGAAAATATATGGGGTTCGAGACAGAGCAGAGTATAGGTTAAGTATGCTTTAACTGCTTTTGTAATAATAACTGATACCAATCTTACCCAGCTCATATTATACATTATATAGCTGTCACACCTTAGGAAACAGACCATTTTCGAGGATCGCTAATGCTTTATATATATACTTGCTTACTTATTTTTCAATAACAGGATGCAAGGATAAATAAAAGTGTCATTAAACCCAAAAATAATTTTTCACCCTTTCACTCCAAAAGTATTTTCCCTAAATATGTGTGGTGGACATTTGTTTCAAAAATTGATCAGTAGAGAGTAAATACCTAGTGACCCTTACAGTGTATATTAATGACTTCCTTGTTCAGGGTGGCAACGCTATGCTGGCTGATTCCCAGTTTTTTGTGTTGCCACTCTATCTTATTTTTTTTAATAATGTTATTGATATTTAGAATGTTTTGATGGATTTTTTTCCCCCCAAATAGTCATGTGACCACCAGAGCACCACTCCTGAAGTGAGCTTCTCCCACATATTGCCCATTGACTTGCAGAGAAATTAGAAAAAGACTTTGTGACCATGTTACAGAAACCCATATACAAAAAAGCACAGAATGCCTCTCCCTCTCTCTCCCCCCTGTAGTGCAGTGCACTGATCGGTTGCCAACATTCAAGCTCATCCAAGTTAGCAGAAACAATGGCTAACAGAAGGTGGAAACACAACACACCAGAAACCAGCCACTATTTAGAGAGGTAAAGATACGGCATCAAACTGAACTTCTCTTGGCTATGCTCCTCTGACATGTTTTGCCCTGCCTATGGGGCCTAATAATTGAGATGTCAGCTCTTTCATTCGGCTCCATAGCCCCCTCTCTAAATAGTGGCTGGATTCCGTTGTACGGTGTTTCCACCTTCTGTTTTCCAAGTTACAAAAAGTTTAAAAAAGATATTTGCAATCACTGAAATGCTGTGCTATATGGACCATAATGCAATGCTGCTGTACATTTCACATATGTCAAAGCATATTTTTGGTTTAGTGTCAATTCAACAACTGGACTATAACTCTTCATTCAAATGCATTGCAAAAATCATCAGCCCAGTGTTTAAAAAAGTTGAGAAAAGTTGAACTGTTCGCCATGGCATCAAAACCTGTTTTAGAGCTTGTTCTATGAAAACAATGAAAGAATCTCATTGGATTGGAAATAGTATTGGAACATCCAGAAGTGACGTAGGTATGTCATGATGTGTGCTCCATCATAGAGTGCACACCGCATTTGGCAAGAAACGGTCTATTCCCTAAACTAGAAGTGATGTTAGTCTAGGGCAGGACTGGATGGGGCTGAACAGGGGAGGATACAGAGTGGCAGGCAATGAGAGTCCACCAACCACATAGACCATTTGATGGATCATAAGGTAGATGAAGGCAGACAGGGTAAGACAAGGTGTTTGTCCTCTGGTGATGCCACTGCTAGATATAACATTGGCCTTGTGTGTGACTGGGTTGGTTCTTTTCACCTTAACCCTCATGTTCCTCCTTTTTTTACATCTTCTTACAGCCTTTCTGCTACTAGTATCTGGTCTGGTTGCCTGTGCCCCTTCTTTTCTGGGTGCCAAAAGGCACACATTCAACATCAGGTATCTTTATAGTAATTTTTGTCGCACACGTGTTGTGTGTGCTTTTGAATTAGATAACCACTTATGTACACACAGCTAACAACTTATGTTGGACTGATTTTGTGATTGGTAAAACATATTTACAGATTTATGTTATAAACCATCCTACAGATATTCTTCCAGTTTATGACAGGTGTGGATATGATTTCCACTATCTTCGAGACAATGATTCTTCTGAAGAAGTGGACAAGTTTCTCAAAACATGTTCAC